GCGTAATTTTGGCGCGATGAATCTTGAAAGACTTAAGGAAGATGCGCGAAACATCAACTGGAACAATTTGTTAAATTCGCAGTGCGTTAATGATAAAGTCCAAATATTCACAGACAACTTGATACAGCTCTATAACGTCCATGCACCCTTACGATCAATAAAACTCAAACATTTACCGGCTCCATGGCTTACTGAGGAGCAGCATTATGTCCAGGAAATGTATAGCGAAAAGCAAATACAAGCGTCGACCAACCGAAGCGAACCTGGAAAAATATGTGTACCTGAGAAATCTCTGCAATAAGATGTGTAGAAACGCACAACGCCAACATATCCACTCTTCCGTAGAAAACGGAGACCCAGCAAAAGTCTGGAAATTTCTAAGAACATTGGGAGTCGGGAGGTCTCGCCAAGAGTCTATTCCCAAAAATGTCAACATTGACTTACTCAATAAACATTTCTCTGCCTCGTCTGACATTAGTGACAGTACAAAAGCTAATACTCTTAGATATATTTCTACTACCCCTACTCCCAACTATCCACCTCTCGCCTTTGATCAGTTGTCCGCTTGTGATGTTAGGAAGACCATTCTGGCGATCTCATCCAGCGCAGTGGGAAGTGACTGCATCAGCCGAAATATGATTATACCTATCCTTGACGAAATTCTACTTATCCTATGCAATATCCTTAATCACTCCGTCACAAGCGGTGTTTTTCCATCTGCATGGAAAGATGCCCAAGTAATCCCTCTTCAAAAAAAAGCTAAACCCTCTTCATTTTCTGACTATCGGCCCATATCTATTTTACCTTTCCTATCTAAAGTACTTGAACGCCTCATCCACTCTCAACTGACTAACTTCCTCTCCAAAAATTCTCTACTGAACCCCTTCCAATCCGGATTTCGCCCTTGCCATAGCACTACTTCTGCGCTGGTACACATTACAGACAGCATCAGACTAGGCATGGATAGTGGAAAGATCACAGTTCTCACCTTACTTGATTTTATCAATGCCTTCAATACTGTGGATTTTCACATTCTGCTTGGCGTACTACGGTCTCTTAACATATCTCCAAGGACAATTGATTGGTTTCATAGTTACCTGTCTGGTCGCCGGCAACGGATTTGCATTGATGACTCTATGTCCTCTTGGTGCAGTATTTCTGCTGGTGTACCGCAGGGTGGCGTTCTATCTCCTTTACTCTTCGCTGTTTTTATAAACTCAATCTCTAATCAACTAAGTTCCTTCTACCACCTTTATGCAGATGATTTGCAAATATATACACAAGCTCCGATTGACATGTTATCGGATGCATTCAACATAATTAACGCTGACCTTCAACGCATTGGCGAGTGGAGTTATAACTATGGACTTATGATTAATCCTACTAAGACACAGGTGTGTGTTATTGGCAGCCCCAGGCTGATCTCAAAAGTTAACTGGACTCTACTGCCCCAAATTCAGTTCGGTGGCACAACTCTTGAGATAAGCACTACTGTTAAAAATTTAGGGATCTACATAGACAACACCTTATCATGGGGTCCACAGATGTTTCGGGGATGTTCTTGATGCAGAAATTAAACAAAGATACGTTATGACAATGCGTGTTTATTATAAAAAATGAACGTATTATATGTACAATTTGTTGGTACAATTAGAGGTAGCATTAAGGAGTAATAAAAGTAAATTGACCAATGACACAACTTGGGACTTCGCGATCCTTACGGCCGACGTGCCGCAGGGTATAAAAGTGTCCTACTATAAAATAACCGCGCCGAAGTAATCCAATTCAGTATGCAATTGAACTCGGCGCAGGGATGTCGCTCGCTGCTCTGGCGCACGTACTCGCCTTCGGCGGGACGGCGAAGCAGCCACTCAGCCAGTGTCGGCGCGCCCTCGCCGCGTTAGGACGTATGCTTTTATTTTATGTAGGTCGCTCCTACATTACTCCGCCGCCAGCGAAGCGTACGGATGGCTTAGAGGTTCGCCCAGACCTGGTAACATAGCTATAACTAGGTATATCATTAGATTGCTTATCGAATTTTATGTTGAAATAGTATGCCGGCTTTAATCTGTCTATTGATATATTTGAGATTCTATTTTCTAACTGCACTTTAAAATATTTAACGTTGCGTTTGATAACGCGATAAGGACCGTTATAAGTAGGCGTCAACGGCTTGCTTACTGCATCATTGCGTATATATACATGTGTACACTTGCTTAGATCGCTATGAATGAATACGTCTCGCTGTTTATTATGGTGTTCTCTTTGCACCTGCGCCTTTTTCAGTGCGTCATTTAAGTGATTCATAAACTGAGATGTAGTGTTGTATGACTTTGTAGGTTCGCCGTAGAATTCTCCGGGTAGTCGAAGTGTTTTACCGTATAATAATTCTGCTGTACTGGTGCCGATGTCTTCTTTGAAAGCTGCTCGGAGGCCGAGTAGTACGGTAGGTAATTCGTACGTCCAGTTGGTAGAAGTTAATCTCGCAGTGAGTGAGGTTTTTAACGTGCGGTGCCAGCGCTCGATGATGCCGTTCGACTGGGGGTGGTAGGCAGTAGTCCGTGTTCGCTGTATTCCCATGCGGTGCATTAGTTTGTTGAACAGCTCGGATTCGAATTGTCTGCCTTGGTCTGTGGTAATGGTTACAGGGCAGCCAAATCTTGCAATCCACGTCTCGTATAAAGCGCTTGCGACTTTTTCAGCTGTTATTTCTTCCATAGTACAGATCTCTGGCCATTTGGTAGCCCTATCTATCATGGTTAGTATATACCGGCAGTTGTTTGACACTGGTAGTGGACCCACGATATCTATGTGCACATGTTCTAAACGCTCCACTGGGGTGAAACTCGCTACTGGTGCTTTAGTGTGTCTGTGCACTTTCGCGCGTTGACATTGTACACAACTTCTTGCCCATTCGATAACGTCCTTTTTCATTGACGACCAGAAGAAGCGCGCCGTTACTAATCGCTTTGTCGCTCTTACGCCTGGGTGGTTAAGGTCGTGAATTGCTTGGAAAGCCTTCTGTCTGAACTCCGGTGGTAAGAACGGACGAGCAGATCCTGTAGACATTTCGCAAGTGATTTTTGTTGTTGCTCCGGGTATGGTTATACGTTTGAAGGTATGACAGTCTTGCTGTGTCAACTGTTTGAGTTCGGCGTCGCGGTGTTGAGCTTTAGCTAGCTTCGGCATAGTCAATCGGCGTTGGACATGTTATTGTTTCGACTCTGGAGAGCTCGTCAGCGACGATGTTGTCTCTCCCTGCGATGTGTTCCATATTGGTGAGAAACTGACCGATGTACTCTTGATATCTTGTGCGTCGCGGCGTTTTATTCTTGCTAATTGCCTTTAGTGCGTGGGCTAGAGGTTTATGATCCATGAAAACGGTGACGTCTTGGCCTTCACATATACGGCGAAAGTGACGAACAGCCATGTAGATTGATAGCAGTTCGCGGTCATAGGTACTGTATTTCTTCTGTGCGTCGTTAAATTTCTTTGAAAAGAATCCGAGTGGCTTCCATTGTCCGTCGATTTTTTGTTGTAGTACAGCTCCCGCGCAGGTGTCCGAGGTATCCGTTAATAAGGCAAAAGGTAGACTTGGTGATGGGTACGATAGAATTGCTGCGTTTGCTATGTCTTGTTTGCACTTCTGAAAAGATTCTATCGCCTTCTCATTCCATTGTACGGGTGTCTTATCATTCTTTTTTGCACTTTGTAGGTAGCCATTTACCTCCTTCTGGTGTTCCGCGGCATATGGAATATTTTCTCGATAAAAGTTCATCATACCGAGAAAACGACGAAGTTGTTGATGCGGGTATTCTAATATAGCTGTGACCTTCTCGTTTGTTGGTTTTATACCTTCGGCAGTTATTGTATAGCCTAAAAACTCAAGGGTAGGCTGTCCAAAGGTACACTTGGCTACATTAATTTGGAGTCGTTTTCGTTAAGCCTCTTTAATACTTCTTCTAGATCATTTCTGTGTTGTTCTTCTGTAGAAGATGCCAGAAGAATGTCGTCAACGAATGGAAACACAGGAAGTCCTCGCAGCACGTTGTCAATGTGTCGTTGGAATGTCTGCCCGGCGTTACGTAGGCCAAAGCACATTCTCGTGAATTCAAACAGACCAAAAGGCGTTATCACGGCTGTCTTTGCAATGTCTTCTTCTCTGTTTCTAACTTGGTAGAAAGACTTCTTTAAATCAATTTTTGTAAAGATTTTTTTGTCTAGTAAATTATAGGTGAAGTCGTGTAGTCTCGGTATGGGGTACCGATCTGGAACTGTAATTGCATTCAGTCGGCGATAGTCCCCACATACTCTGTACTTGCCGTCCTTCTTCATAACTAGGTGTATTGGGCTCGCCCATGGGCTATTCGATGGTCTACAGATTCCTTGTTCCATCATTGCCTCGAACTCTTCCTTCGCTGCCTTGTACTTATTGGGTGACAGTGGTCTTGTTTTAGAATATAATGGTGGTCCCGTCGTTTCTATATGGTGTTCCACCTCACTGTGACAGAGCTTCAGCGTTGGTCGAGTGATATCTGGGTACTTAGCCAGTAGGTCGTGATACGGTTGCTTGTTGCTTACAGTGTTGATACTGTGCTCTGATGTAGGTGTGACGTACCCGACGACAGATAACCCAGTTTTTTTGTCAATTAATGAATGGCCATGAATGTCGACTGTAAGTTGATGTTTGTGCAGGAAGTCGGCGCCTAATATTGGTCGAGTTACTTCGGCGATCACAAAATTACATTTGAAGGGTCTCCGTAAACCGATATTCAAAACCATTGTTCGTTCGCCATAAGATGGTATTGACGTTCCGTTGGCGGCGTATAGGTTACTATTTTGCTTCATTTTGCTTTTTTCTATTTTTCTAATTGGTAAGACAGAAACGTTGGCTCCCGTATCGATGAGAAAACGAAGTCCAGTAGATATTTCTTTAATAAATAAACGACGGTATTTTGAAATTTCGTCGACTTCGGCTCCCGTCGCAGCTAAAGTCTTTTCTAGTTTTCCCGTGTCTGATTCGTTTTCTTCTCGAAAGTACACGGACTTCGACATCTGTAGGCTTCATTTCCGAACTTTCGATGGAAATAGCATACCGACGGCGTACGATTTACTGAGTTTGAACGTGAGCGCGGCCGTCGTTGGTGATTTTTGCGCAGATGACGGTAGTTGTTCCTCGATCTATCCGTTTTTAGCGCGGCGATCTCTCTAGTTAGTGATTCGATCATGCAGAGGATTCTCTCGTCTTGTGCTGATGTTGCTGGCTTATTCGTAATACCGCTGCCATGGCCACACGAACATACAGAGTGTACTTCTTTTGTCTGCTCGGCCATCTTGTCGGCCATCGCTGCCAGTGCGTCGAGTCTTGATTCCTCGCTAACCGCAAGCACTGCTCGTGTAGCAGAGGGTAGGTGGCCGATCCATAACATGCGGAGTGTATGTTCGGGTATCTTGTCGCGCGCCAGGTCACGCATACGCCTTAAAAGTTGGGAGGGTCGCTGATCGCCTAGTTCTACGTCATTTAGCAGCTTCTGTAGTTGTTTGTTTTCTGACTCCTCGTGGACGGATAGTAGTCTGCTTTTTAATGCCTCGTATCTTCCTGTGTTGGCGGGTGACAAAATAATATCGCCAATTTGTTCGATGTCCATCTTCTCAAGTTGTGCTACGGCCAGTGTAAATTTGCCTTCATCGCTGAGCTTCTGGTTGGTAATGATCGTCTCGAATTGTGCAAACCAAAGTCGAGGTTTATCACGCCAGAATTGTGGTATTCTTGCCTTGATGGAGATAGTCTCGATATCCTGTTCCGACAGCACGACAGGATGTTCTTGAGACATGATCACGTCGGGGTCACCACTTTCGGGGATGTTCTTGATGCAGAAATTAAACAAAGATACGTTATGACAATGCGTGTTTATTATAAAAAATGAACGTATTATATGTACAATTTGTTGGTACAATTAGTGGTAGCATTAAGGAGTAATAAAAGTAAATTGACCAATGACACAACTTGGGACTTCGCGATCCTTACGGCCGACGTGCCGCAGGGTATAAAAGTGTCCTACTATAAAATAACCGCGCCGAAGTAATCCAATTCAGTATGCAATTGAACTCGGCGCAGGGATGTCGCTCGCTGCTCTGGCGCACGTACTCGCCTTCGGCGGGACGGCGACGCAGCCACTCAGCCAGTGTCGGCGCGCCCTCACCGCGTTAGGACGTATGCTTTTATTTTATGTAGGTCGCTCCTACAGATGCAAGAGGTCAGTCGTAGGATATTTGATTCAGCCGGTTCTCTTCGAAGACTACGCAAATTCCTTCCAACTGCAACTAGGGTTGCGCTTGCACAAGCACTTCTCCTCCCAATTCTCGACTATGCCGATGTCAGCTATCTGAATCTCACTGAAGCACAACTCGATAAGCTTGAGCGACTACAAAATATGTGTATACGATTCGTATTTGGTTTACGAAAATACGATCACGTCTCTGAATTCCGTCAAATGCTCAAGTGGCTTCCAATTCGCTCTCGCCGGAATACTCATATCCTTATTTTCCTTTATAACATTTTGTTTAATCCCAAAACCCCTTTCTACCTCAAAGAACGATTCAAGTTCCTAAATGACACACACGAAAAATGTCTGCGGTCATCCGTAAGTTTACAACTGGAGATGCCACTGCATTCCACCAAATTTTATGACCAATCCTTCACTGTTGAAGCTGTGCGCTTGTGGAATGCACTGCCGCTTAACATCAGGCAGCCGCAAACATTACATAAATTCAAGAAAATGGTACAGGAATTTTATTCACTTTAGGAGTCCATCACGCTTGAGGGTGTAACGAAACTGTTTCTCTTTTCTATATGTTTATTCATTTAAGAATGCGTATATATATATGTATGTGTATATGTATATTTGCTGGTATAGTATGTAGGTACTTATATATATATATAGGTTTATTTATTGTGATATGCATTGTAGATGTAAGTATAAAAATTGTAAATGTCTGTAGATAATATGATATGTGTAGTATATGTAATATGTATAGTAGATGATGATAAACAAATAGTAGGTTCACATATTCAATTACTACTGTCACTCTGCAACTTTTGATCCATCCTAAGGTTGCCTGGAAGAAATTGCAATTAGCAATAAGGCCGCCCTTTGTACACTCGATATTTGATCGTTGTGTTCCTTTCTTGAAATTCTGTAATTTAGTGTGCAAATAAAGAGTTATCTATCTATCTATCTTAATGCTGATACCTTATCTCGTCCTCCCGTATATAATATTGATGATATAGATCTTAGTAATGATATAACTTATAGAAATTTCCTTCGATCTCGTTCTAGTCCAATGGTTTTTACTACTGTAGTTCACGAATTCAATCAAAGTCTTTTGAAGACATCCTGCAATACTATTGCTTATCCGACATCAATCGATATAGATTCTTCTAACCCTTACTGTGAAGAAATAATTAACCTTTTAGATAACGTAGAAGTCTTTAAAAACTCTGAAAAGGAATTATATTCTGTAAAAACTTATATATATAAACATATTTTCACATGTTTACTAAAGTACATCATTATGACTCTTGTAATTACAGAGACATATTTAACGTATTAAACAATCTTCGTAATGAATTAATTATATTTCATCCCGATGTAAAAGAAATCTCTATGTCTGATTTTTCCAATTCTGAATGAAATCATTTGTTTTATTTTCCATAACACTAATATCACCGTAAACATATATCATAATAAAATAATTTACCCAACCCCTAACGAAGTTCCTACAATATTGAAAGATAATCATGACTCGCCTATTGGCGGACATATTGGTTCATCGCGGTTATATAATAAATTAAAGGAATCTTACTACTGGAAAGGTATGAAAAACGATATTGAATCGTATATTAAACGCTGTCCACTTTGCCAACAAAATAAAGCTCTACGCGCCTGTAATAAAGCTCCAATGGAAATAACTTCTACTTCTCTCGAACCTCTCCAAAGAGTATCTACTGATATTGTTGGTCCTTTACCCGAATCCGGTTCTGAAAGATATAAATATATAGTTACTTTTCAAGATGATTTGACAAAATATTCCATGGCCTATCCTATTACTAACTCAACGGCTGAGCAAACAGCTGATTGTTTAATTAAATTTATCTGTCACTTCGGCATTCCCAAAACTCTATTATCTGATCAAGGTGTTCATTTAATTGCAGAAGTATATAAACAAATCACATCTCTATTTAAAATTAAACATCTCTTTTCCACTCCATATCATCCTCAAACTAATGGGGCTCTTGAACGAAGTCATGCCACTTTAAAAGAATATTTAAAGTCAACGATAATCAAGACGATTGGCACAAATATCTTCCAACATCTATTATTTCTTACAATTCTTCTGTACATTCTTCTACTAATTTCACACCTCATGAGTTGTTGTTTGGTTGTAAACCTTATCTACCTAGTTCTATCTACGATATTGACCCAACGGCAACCTATCCTGATTATGTTAAAACGCTAAAACAAAAGCTAATCAATACCAGAAATATAGCCAGAGAAAATATCCTCCGTAGTAAAGAAACTTCAAAAAAATATTATGATAAAAACACTAGAGACATTTCTTATAAGGTTGGAGATATGGTGTATGTGAAGCACCATCACAGACTGCGTAAAGCTCTTTCTAGTATCTGGAAAGGTCCATATAAAATAATTAAAGTACATGGCAATAATAATGTCACTCTTTTAATCAATCGTAGACATGTTAGATATCATTTTGACGAAATTAAATTAGCTTTTAATTATTCTTAATTTTAATTTAGAAGACCTTATTGATGCTATTTTATTCGGTAAACAAAATATTGTTCATCCTTCTGTACTAAGTCCCATGCGATTGTACAATGAATTGAATTCGAAAAGTAACGCTGTTATTTTAAGCCTACCTTTACATTTGACTCCTAGTAACATTCACGCAATTCTAGATGTCTCAGAAATATCTTCTTTCATTAACGACAACAAACTTATTTTTGTAATCAGAATTCCTCTAGTATCCTTTGTAGAATACAACTTGTACCACGTATACTCTTTACCAACTCCTCATGATATCAATAATCCTAATACTTTCGCTTTAATTAATTTAACCGCAAAATTCCTGGCAGTGACACAAGATAAATTAATTTATTCCGTGTTAGAAGACTTAAGTGAGTGCAAAGTGATAAATAACAATTATTATTTGTGCAAATTAGGTAATATACAATCAAGTGTCGGAAATCCAAATTGTGAAGTGACGGTCTTAACCGAACATGTGAAAGGTATCCCAGACTCTTGTAATTTTAAGCTTTTTGTAGGTGAAATAGATATATGGCAAAAACTTAAAAATAATAGATGGATTTATGTTCAATCTAATATAACAAAAATCTCTATTAATTGTAATGGCATTATAAATGACTATGATATAGTTGGTTCAGGTATTTTAACCCTGCCTAAATACTGTAAGGCTTACCACAAGCTACTTTAATTCATTCCATCTCAAGAATTTGAAACTAAAATCAATATTCTACATCCTAATTTTAATATTATGGAAGATGATTGCTGCTCTAAAGTTAAATTAAATGATACTTTACCACATCTGAGCTCTATCAAATTAACACATGTAAATTTAGATTCATTACAATATGCTTCTCACCGATTAAATCAAATCAATGACGATTTGACCAAAATTGAAATTCAACCATATCATATTAGTTATAGTTACTATTTTAGCATTATTCCTACCATACTGTCTGTCTCTGTATTCTCCTATTTCTTTTATAAACTTTATAAATGTGTTTGTTGTAATAAACATAGAAACAGTACTTCTTGTTGTGTCAAAATTTTTAATAATTGTATGACTAAACCTAGCACTAATATCCGCACAAGAGCTAGCATTGAACTGGCCAAACGTGAATATGATACAGAAAGTACTGATTCCAATGTAAGTACTCCAAGACGTAATCTTGAGTTATTGTAATAATATAATCTATCGGTTCTATTTTTATTTTGATAATATGTTTAATTTAATTCTGGGTTCTTTAATTTCATTTTGGGTTGTTTACTATTTCTAATTTTTATGATAATCTAACTATATAATATAATTTAAGAAAAGTTTGTAAACTCAATTTCTAATCTTAATTTTATCTTACATGGATTATACTCACATCCTTTTCTATTTCCGGATGTTTCGTTTTAAAGGGGGGAGGTGTTACATCCCTAATTTTGATGATATTGCATAGGAATGCAATACAATATTGCAAATTATTTAAATCTGAATATCCCGAATCAATCCACACTGTACTAGAATTACTAAACAA